TAGAGAGAGGAGTCTGAGCGATCACGAAACGGGAGGGAAGTGAAAGAGAGAGAGAGAGAGAGAGAGAGAGAGAGAGGGGGGGGGGGGGGGAGAAGTGACATCGGAAGTTTTTAAAAATAAGTAAAAGAAGGAGATACAACTAACCCCAATCATTCGGCGTGATTCATATTTTATCCTTATGTTAAGACCGGCCACCCGCGTGATGTGAGTGCCCCTGACTTGAGAAAATGGCGTGATTAATCCTCCCCAAATGAGAATTCATTAATTTAACGGTTTGTTTATTGAAAGGAAGGAACATAGCAACAAAGGTAACGCTTCGACAGTCCTCAGTAATAAAGTGGAACAAACATGATACATGAACGAGATAATCCTACAATGTTTATTTCACCACGCGGGATCAATCTAAACATTCATGCATCACACGCAAGAACGTAACTTTTTGGCCCACCCTCACTTTGTCTTTGAACCGTAAATTCCATGGGATTGAGAAATACAGACTAAATTGCTTGTTCTTAATCTAGCAGTTTCAATATATTTTGATGTTGCTTATAGAAAAAAAAACACGAACGTGTGGGTATGCGCGTGTGCGAGTGACTGAGAAAGACGGGGGTGCCGGGAAGGGGGGGGGGAGGGGGGAGGGGGGCTGGTAAAAAGAGAAAATATGAGGTGACAGAAATGGAGATTTAATTTCAGAGAGAGAGAGAGAGAGTGTGTGTGTGTGTGTGTGTTTGCAGGAAAGAGAACATGATACATACAGAGTCAGTAGAAAATTAATGTAACTTACGTTTTACATATAAAGAAATAAAGAGGCAAATAAATATTTCATGTAAATTACGTATTTTATCCTATGCATCAAAGAGCATTATCAATTAATTTGTTTCACATCATTCTATAAAGATCTGACTTGATTTGCGGGCAAATAAAATTGTTGGCGAATTAAAATGATTGTCATCAATATCACTTTAATTAAAGATCATTTTATCAAAAGATCATTATCAGTTTACAATGACATGTACACAATGACAACATGAAATAAGAAAGACACTTTAGAGCATAATTAATTTTTACAATTATTTATTTGATTCAAAATCGAGAAATGATCAGAAGCGGAAAATACTAATTTTCTTAAACAATCCCGGTCAAGAATCTTCGTTGAAATGGACGTTTGTTTTTCAAGTTTGTACCATTATAACTTGATACTAAAAATCTATCTATAATCCGGATAATGTAATGCAATAAGATCTACTGTGAAGACAATGCTGCATTCGTTTTTCATTAACACTACTTTACACTAAAGTTTTACAAATACAGACAGATGCATCGAGAAAACACATATTGTGGACAAACTGTTGCATAATTTGACAAAATTTTGAACCCAGGTATCAACTCACATAAAACAGAACATAGTCACGTGGCCTCTTTCTAAATGATAAATTTTCCCTCTGTGTAAACGCACAAGAATGATCAACATGTTCATAATTGTATCTTAACATCGTTTAACAGGTTCAAACTCAAATGGAAGAATCAACATATTTCCTGTACAAATGATATCTGATGTATGTCGAGCTGCCGCAGCAATACACCTCCGACTGAACGACAATGCATTAATTGATAAAAAACAAAACTTTGACAAAACTCATTACCTTCTTAAAGTGTTAACATGAATCACTTTCTTTAACTGTTGATATATCAATGTGTCATAATAATTACAATAAAAACCAATAGCCTGTAACGCTCTAAAATTCTTTACATGCGCAACAAAACAAATAAAATTGACAAGATTATTGAAGTGAATCAAATGACGTTAATTCTTTATCGTCGCTCCATTCAGGAAGATAACAAGACAACAAAAACTCTTTCAGGAACACGTAAAGCTTAAAGATAAAGTTGAGTTCTGGTCATTGCAAATGAAACATTTTAGAAGCAAAGGGAGAAGCCCGATTATGCAGTAAATACAATTGATGTATACAGAGAGAATTTGGAATCATCAAGATGATAAGAAAATGACCGAGTCTTGCTGAAGGTCATATGTAATGCACACAACAAAATGTGTACATGGGACTATACACAAGTGTGGCATGAAAGTTTTGTAAAAACACTTAAGCTATTTTTCGTAATTTTGCGAATTGAGGGAGTTGGAAAAGCAATCATTTTGAGACAACTTTTCTTTCATAATATTCTACTCCTCCCCCCTTGAAAAAAAAAAAAAAAAAAGGTAAAGAAAGAAAAAATCAATAATTATTTCCAAGCCTACCGGAATTTAACTTTCTCTTCGACTCGAGTCAACCGGTCCTGAAAATATATCCCTACGTAAATACGGCTTTCATGTCACAAGACCTATATGCTCTATAGATTCACAGCTATATTTGGTTCCGTCATACATACCGCATGACGAGGGCGAATGGGTACCCACGGCCGGGAGTGGCGTTTGGAATACATTGACCCAGTAGTAAATTGATGAAGTAGTCGGTCTAACTACTGAGAACCTTGCCAGCTCACAGAGTTAGAAAGCATGGCATATTAATGTCAAATGGTCTCAACGTACTGGTAATTACAGTGTCTCATACAATTTCAACCGATTTGAGAATGAAAATTGAAAGATGGTTTTATTGAGGTGGTAGCCCAAAAAGATTTCGTACTGCAATACGTTACTTTAGGGGCAAAAACTTATCATTAATTCTGTTATACAATTATTTATGACATTCTTTTTTTATCAAACATGTAACGAATTATCTCATATTCATGCTGGATCAATACAGGATTGTTTACAGAGAGACTACAGGCAAAGAAAAGTTGAGAACCATGAGGGCGTTAACCTAACATAAAGGGATGGTAGATAACTCTTTTTCGGTCCTCTTTTCAATATTTATATTACCATCTGAAATATTGAAATGAATATATTATGATAAGTATTTCAACATTTCGTTTGCATAAGTCTTCAATTCATCTAGCAGTACAGTGTGTACTCTCATAGTTGTACATTTTAAAGCAAAATAAAGATGAAGCAGTATTTAATCAACTCAGAAAAATCATTATGACACCGATATGACACTTCAAGAAACGTAGGATTAATCAAGACGTTAAAAATACATTCCTCAGACAAAAATATTTTCAGTGTGGGTTGCAACTGAATTAAAGACAAATTTTCAACCATTTGAAATGCATGGCATTGGAGCTGTCACACGGTGATCTTCGTAAGTTCATGTGATTAAGTTGCACAAGCTTCAATGTAATAATAGAAATTAAATGAAATACTGTCTTTCACATAAAAGGCTCGAAAAAAAAAAATGTGTTCAAACTTTGTAATTTGTAATTCATACAAATCCTTAGCCGTGAATTCTTTTTAAAACTCTTGTAACTTTAGTATTATTTTAACTTTTTATTCAAGACTTATACGTCAAAATTCGTTATATCTAATATTTGTATTTCGACGATGCATTAAAACGATTAAACAAACACTACTTTTATTATTTCATCCAATTCTCGACTAGAAATGTACCATCTGATCACAATTGCTCATTTCTAGTGAGGAAGGCAATGTAACTTAACTGTATTGCATATATTTTTCTCATAGAATCGAGTCCGGAGCAAACGAAATAATATATAAATATTGAAAATACTAGTGACGTATGATGTGTCCGAAGTATAATGATCAATGACAACTTTCATGTATCATTCTCAATATCTATATCCCTAGCCGCCGTCCTCCATCATTTTATTTCTATATCCTACAGCATGTATAGTCAGTTTTTAAACCGTATGCCGATTCCCTTTTTTCTTTTCGTTTATGATATGCCATACCTACCGAAATTTACGTGAATAGAAAATAACTATAGAAATGGCAGGTCTTAATATGATATTAAACAAAAATCACACAACAAAACCCATCATGGCGCCCTGTAGTTGTGACAGTTTGAAAATGAAAGGAAACATTAAACCATCATTCATTTAGGGGTGGACTTTAAATGCTTGTTTCGTGAATGAAGAAAAAACACATTTTCTTGTAAATAATGTTTATTATTCTCCTTTACTAAATACACGTCATCTTTCAAAAATAGCAGCCGAGTGTATATCTCATAATGATTATTGGTACACCTTCCTTTGAAACATTATAAACAAATAAACACATTTTATTTTCTTCAACATATACTATCTAACTTTCTCTTTACACGTAAATAATCTGACATGATGTATATATATCGTTTCTTGGTTCAAATATACAAGAAAGACTATTGTAACAACTTGTTTCATCTCCGTATATGTATGTACACACTAGAACGTGGCGTATATGCTGGTATTATCTTCCCGTTCCGTCTGTTAATTTCATACAATATTTAGACGAACAAAAACAAGCGAAATATTGTATTATAAACGAATAAACAGATAAGTGAATGGAACCTTAACAATGTTAACTATCAATTAAAAAAAAAACGAACATGTCTTTTTTCTAGAAGACAACTATTTTATAGGCTAGTCTATAATTCAACATACAATATGATAATGTCTAGAAAATTCTGAGGTTGAATGTCTAGTATCATTAATTTTTTATTTTAATTTTCTTATTTATCGATAATACTAATACACATGTTTTTCTTCTAACACAATATGAATTCTAAGCAACACATATTAAAGTGCTTATTGCGATATGTTATTGATGTACATATATATACATTCCCCCGCTGAATTTTTTTTCTTCTTCACCAGATAAAAGATTTCTTCATCTTGAGACATATCATCGAGTATAAAGGTCAATATGAAATCACCTGATATTTATCATAAGTATCACGTAACATTCAACCGCAGTCACCTGATGAGTAGATGAAAAATCACGTGATACTTACCGTGAACCAATCACAACGCTACACCGACTTTCTCTCTCTCCACAACAAACGTGTATCATGTTCAAGTAACGTGCTCTCCCTCCCCGTTTGTCCTATGGCATCGCTAGAAGGAGATGGCGTTGATTTGGAACAAGTTGTTCTAATCTTTAACTTTGAGTATTTACAAGCTACATAATATTGCAGGGTATTTTCAATCAGGTTCTGGTTCAAAATGAAGGCTTCGGTGACGCGGCAGCAGATAAATGCACATTGATCGCTATTTTGATTACCACGCTCAAGGAACAATTGATAGAGTTGACAAACGAATCATGCCACAAACAAAATGGCTGTCGCAAAATTTCTTCGATGGTAGCTCACTTACAACACAATAATTCAATAAAGGTAAAACATTATTACGCTGCTTGATAGGCAAATGTCATTTAGGATCCTGATTTAACATACGATCAGTAAAATCAGCGAGATGATTCCAACCATTTGCAGTTTAATCTTCTCGCTTTTATCACGCTTCTCTTCTCAAAATCCATGTAATGAAACGCTTTCTGAAGACGAATGGAACAATAAATATACATACATGACAGGCAATAGTCCTTTGGTTATCTCTAGTTTTCTCTCAAATGTTTAATGTCATTTTGGTCACTTTGTTGTTTTAGTTTGATAGAAAATAGTTTTGAAGGCTTGATGCTTGGGCGTGTCATCACAAACTGGTGGGTTTCTTGGTTTCGTTGGTGGTAGGATGGGTAATCTCGTCGCGTAGGGAGTGGTTGCTACCCCCCATTCCTGGAGGTGTTTGGTGGTTGTTGTTAAGCTGTGTGATGGGGAGGGATGTAACAAGGGCTTGTTCGCACAATGCAGCTACCTCCTGTGGTGAGCGGATGGAAGGGATGGCATCAGGGAGAGATGGAGGGGGATATGAGAGTAGAAGGGCGGGGAGGATAATAGAAGAAAAACGATCAGAAGACAAAGGGAGAGTGAGAGAGAGAGAGAGAGAGAGAGAGAGGATAGAGGGGAAATAGAGAATACAAAGATAAATTGTGTGTGTGTGTGTTTGTGTGAGTGAAAGAAAGAAAGAGAGAGAGAGAGAGAGGGAAAGACAGAGAGACATAGAGAGAGAGAGGGGGTGTAAGGGATGGAAGATAAAATTAATATTGGGAAAGGAGATGCGGTAAGCGTGTTTGTGAGACAGAGATACATAAAGGGGAGGACGATAAAGAGAAGAGGCAGAAAGAGGGGTTTTTTGAAAGAGAGAAGGGGAGGGGCAAAATAAAAGAAATAGAAGGTAAAACAAAAAAGTGTTGAAATCCATGAAATGGAAAAGAGATTGAAAGAAGACAGAAAGATGGGGGGAGAGAGAAGTTTGGGATGAGGGAAAAGGAGGAGAGGAGTAAGATTGAAGAAAAAAAAAAGTATAATACTTTAAAATATTTCAAAAAGAAAAAGATAACAATCACAATTCATGTATTATTTTATAAGCAATTTATCTATAGTTATGAATCACTTATTAAAAGGACGAATATATTTGTGTCAAAACCTACTGAACAAAATCGTCATTTCAACAGCAGATTATAGTTTTGGATAATTGTATATTCATTGAAAATATATTTTTAATGAAGTTTATTTCACTTTCAGTATTCATCATAGGTGAATCAGGTCAAATCTGAAATTTGTTTCTCTTCCATAAAGAGGACCAATAAACATTGACAAAATAACATTTAACAATACATTGGATCTGTGGAGAGCTAGAACATGTAGAAGGGCGTTAGGGCGTTAACTCATTGTCAAAGTGTATGAGTTAACGCCCTTCTCGCTCTTAATAGATGGTTGCATACAAAGACAAGGAACGGAGACAGAATGCGTGTGTCTATGTTGAGCTATCATGGTGCACTTCTAAGAAATGGAAACATATCGTGTGATGTTAGAAAAGAAGCTAGATATTGGTGAAAGTGCAATAATCAAATTGGCTAAATTTATACGAGGGTTATACGAAAATTGCTCCTGCGACATTTGCCTCCGGTCAAGATCCTACACTACCCGAAATCTCAACTTCAACACTGGACTTGACATTATAGAGTGGTGAAGTGTGACGTCATCAACAAAATATGTTTAGAATTTCTCAATTTGAACTTCATTTCCGAAAGAGAATCAAAAATTGTGTCCAAATGTTGAAAACCAATTGAATATGTTAAGTATGGGCTGAAATATGACCATCTGAATAAATAGGTTTCCTATTTAAAGGAACACAGTGTTATTATGCTCTGGTTCGTAATGAAGTTCAAATTGAGAAATTCTAAAAAATAGATTGTTATGATGTCACAGCTTCGGTACTCTTTATCGAACCCTTACCCTAAACCTAACCTAAAACCCAATTTAAAACCTTACCTTAATCTTAAAGTTTAAATTAATAAATCCTGGAGTAATAGTCGCAAGAGCAAATGTCGAATCACCCTCAAGAGATAGTGGCAAAGCACACATAATGCATTTTAGTTTACAGGAAGCATGAGCAGAAGGAAGTATTTAGAGAACCATTTTAACTAATTCGTTTTCAAGAAATATCTAAACAAACTACCGGCTATATTTTTAATATAAATAAATACCACAGTAAAGAGAAAGGAATGCATTTTTTTTTGTCTTTTGCGAGAGGCACAAAGCTTGCGACAAATTAATTTGCATGAGTATCAAAGGTACGCATAAACCAATATGAAATGAAAGATAATAAGTATCGAATCAAATCTTGAGTTCTGGTAACAGAATTAAATTTGGCTTAGTGTAATTCTCAATGGTGGGTCATTTAGTGTGTGGGTTGTTTAAACCAACACATTAAACGAACACTTATTATAAGTTTGAGGCCATGCGTAAAACATTATCTTTGAAACTGTTGACATTTATTAAACGGAACTAAAAAGTGATAGCAAATCAATTAAAGCGTCATCTTTTCAAGTTGAATTATTATCAAATGTCCATTAAATATTTTCAAAAGTGGTACTTTTGAGGCTTTTTTTTTCTACCTTTAAAAAAAATAGATAAATAAAAAATAAAAATAAAATAAATGAATGAATAAATAAATAAGTTACAAAATATATCGATAAATAAAGGAACAAAATAGAAAAATGCAAACTGAGAGAACCAAATGCTTGAAGGTTTGTAGCGCGCTTGAATTCTAGCTGGGGAGAAATTGTCGTTTTCTTTCCGTCTCTCGTATCCATGGTAACGTGATATAAGCATTGATTGTGATATATGAAGAGTGAACCTTTGATTTTTATGACAGGAATAATGAGAAGGTTGTTTGGCGTATTACGTGGCTAGGTTATTGCCCCCTGGCTTCTAGTTCATGGTATAAACCAAATACAAGCTACTGTTTCTTATATTTTCATTGACTGCACTCTATAAAGTTTATCTCTTGTACTTTATTATCCGAAGCAAAATGATAATGTAATTTGCAATTTGATTCGAATCATCTTGTTCACGACTGTAAATTAAAAAGGTATATAATCCTTACAGAGTACAATACTGAAAGAGTAAATTGGAATCTGATGGAACTACTCTATTGGCAAGCATACGTTGCCGGTAAAATATGAAAGGATAAATTGCAAACAGGGGGGGGGGGGGGGGGGGGTGGGGGTGAAAGATGCAACGCCCTCCTCTTATTACGCTAATGGTCCTTAAATCCACCAGGTTAAAAGATAATCGATATTAAAGCCTATATCCCTTCGACTTCAGTTTAATATTGTGCTGTCTTAACGTGTGAGCACCCCTTTCACCAAAGTGGCGTCTATGCCTGAGATTGGTCCTGCTTTCTTCTCGGGCAAGAATGTTAAATTGCCAATATTCCTCCAATAATTCATCCAAAATGAGTTCCCCGGGGGCAGACAGATAAGCATTCCCCGAATAATATCTTTCATCCAATTCTTCCCTCTGCTTTTCATGAACTCCAGATTTCCATCAAATACAAATTAGCCTAACAAGATTTAGATAAATCACCGTAAGCAGTGGTTTCGGATTCCACTCCTTATATCCAAAACGTTTCCATGGAAACAATACAGTGCATTTAGAGAAAAAGCGCATATAAATGTCATGTGACTCAAAAAAGGGAAATGTTTGCAGCAAGGGATTTCAGGTGATGTATTCATGATTTTGGATGATTGGAGTAAAGTATCATGGTATTTGACATTACTAAACAGTTATATATGTACTGGCAAATGCATAGCAGTCATTTTCCTTCAAAGAAAAGGAACAAATCTGTATCCCCTAGTCCATTACGAATACAAGTAGAGATGGATTCTTTGATTCATTATAACACACTTTAATGAAGAAGTAAAACAGTGGAGAGTAAATGAAAACTTTCACCGTCGCTCTAATCAATAATCAAATATTGACCTTCCCCCTTTTGTATGAAACCGATACTTTACATCGGTACATTAATTGTTTCCATGCATGCGCTGAAGGTCGACTCGTTAACAGCACACCGAAAACAATTAGCGTATACTCTCTACCAAATGGCGGTCATGACAATTTGGTGTCACGGCGGTGAAAACCGTCGCACTTTAACCGGTAATTTCTGATAACTGATTGCGTGTTTAGCCTATCAATTTATGAAATAGCATGCTCGATGACTCTTCATCGCCTGCGAGAGGAAATCGTTCTCTTTAACAAATTGGTCGCGTAGTTTACGAAGTGCCTTGGAAGTGATCATGCTGATTAAATTTATTCCATAGAATTAATGGGTTCCCAAGCGAGCCTGGTCAGATACTTTATAATAATCTTCACAGTTAACACTTGTGCAAGTATATAAATTGCTGCTGGTCAAAAAAGATTGATAGTTTATGACGTTATTTAAATACATGAGTTGCATGATAAAATAGCAAGTATGAATAATTTGTTGAAAAGTAGGATGCCAGTTTTGCAGGTCAAATACAGTTGTTTTTTAATATAACAAATGGATATCTAGGTAAATAAAGGACAGACTACAGAGCATGACATTCTTCTTTGAGATGTCACAAATAAATGATAATATATTAAAACATTTTTAGACATTTTAGATTGACAATAAAAGGGTTATATAAAACATTTGACCAACACAAGGATGAGGTTTAACAATCACTGACCACATAGCAAAACACAAAGATGGAGAAAGACAGATAACACATTTAGCATGTGAACAGAAAAACAGGTGACGTACATTATTATAAAACGTCAGTTTATCCATTCAATTTTTGTAAAGTAAGGAATTATTCCAGAACATGACATAATTTTTGGTGTCACATCGCCTCAGTAATATACATTACATGACACAGACGTAAGAACTACGCAGACATCAGGACAACAAGACCAACAATGACAACAATTTAGTAGCGGTGATTATAGCAATAGCTTTTGCGAGAAAGGGCGAGAAAGAAAGTTTGTTAGCCATGTAGAATATTAGAAATATTTTCAGATATCAGATTTGCCATTTCATTGTAAGATTAGTTCCACTTTAGTTCAGAAATAGGCACATGCTAACCAAGTGTAATTTTTTGTATCGGATTAATAATCAAATAACAATATCTAGCAACGGGCCGAGTCAGGAAATATTTGTTGTTTTCAACAAACCTTCAACTTTTGGTAACAAATTTCCGTAAGTAGATGTAAATGACTTTTCTGAAGTAATTTATATTCAAAATATGGACAAAGTCACTTTTTTTTCCTTTCCAATCTGACAATTTCCGTTATTGTACATGGCCGGCCATTATACAACACTTAGCAACCATAGCAGCAAAATGTGACAAGACAGCTACACTACTGACAACACGTGAGCATTGAACATTTGATGAGCATTATAGGTGCATAGTTGCAGTGAAGAATCAGGCCTAGCTAAAGGAGTAAAATTAATAAATTATATTAGAACAGGTACATTGTGCGTTAAATCACGGTAGAAAGAAAAATAATGAAATAATGTAATGCGCATGTGCAGAAGGTGTTTGGTAGAAAAGGTGCCAGTGTGAGTTTATCATACCTGTCAACTGAAACCCATATAATGCGGGTCAATATGACCCTTTCATTAAATTTTGTCATTTTGAGCTTCTTACCCGGTAAACCGGAAAGGTGAAATATCTGAGAAAAATTTAACGCATTCTATGATATCTCAGAGGCAGACGCGCCAGAAAATAATTTCGCTCAATGAATTTAATCCCTTCGAGAAGAAGAGATGAAAGATGGATTATACATTTAGGGTTCGGGTGACAGGTACGATAGTGTGAAAATGAATAAATGCATAAGTATATTGTGCATGTGCAGTGTGATGTTCTAAGTAGGAAAATGCAACTTTTAGACGACTGTGCGTGAAATGAAATATAAAAAATGCTTGGATGGAATGAAATGAGGAAAAAAGAATAAGTTTCTCTTCTACGAAGCCGGTGAGTGTCCTACACCATTTATTCTACTACAACATCTTGACAAATGAGAGAGCAGTGAAGAGGCCTTCGCAACTGTGCAATGAAGATGGTGAAGCAGATGATCCACAAGCCACTAAACATTTTTGCGGGTAGCAGGATTTCCCGCGTATTTATAAAATCATGTGTCGCCCGATGAGCTTTTTTTGTACCTACATTACGTTGAGAGATTCGAATGCCATTCCGATGGGGTGTGCGTGAGAACCAAGCTACCTGCTTGCCAATCGTGAGGTCGGTTGGGGACCTTTAACGTCCCCCGTCCGCTTGCAAGGTACAAGCTACGGTGGTGTGGAAAAAAAGGCGGCATGCAAAGCAGTGAAATAAAGACAAAAGTCGTCTAAAAATTCATTTCAGTTCATTCTTGGGATGATGACAAATATGAAAGGATGAAAGCAAAAATATTTACACTAATTTATGTCGTGATTGTGAGATGGTTTATGATGATTATTGCCGACTATTGTGAAGTGCGATGGAACGAGCCTGCTTGCTTTCATCCATGGAAGATGTTGAAGTGTTGGGTTTCGCATCTAGCACTAGTCCCACATGTGCAACACTGTGTTGTGTTTTTGATGTAATGACCGTGATTTTAGTCGTCCATCAAGAACAATAGTTCAACAAAGGCCTACATAAACACAAAGACAGTTGAATATAAGGAATTATATAGAAAGAGAAACAACCAACTAAAACAAACATTATCTCTTAATCAGAGAAAAAAGGTTAAGAATGAATATGAAAATAGATCCTGGGATCAAGACCCATAGTTTGAGTAGGAGACGCCGTCATAATTGTAGAGAGTGTAGAGCCTTCAAAAACGAAGTCATAAGTTATTTGGCTATGTATGAATATGTATATGGACAGTACGAGGATGAGATTAATACATTTTTAGAGTAATGAGTATATATATATTCATAATTTATATATTACATAACATTATCATATACAATTATAACATTATATTTGTTGATATAACGATGTTAAAACATTGCAAATAATTTTTTACTCATTCTCAGAAAACCAATTAAATGGAGAATTTATTGCGTGTTAAAATAACAGTACGATACTGATAACAAAATTAGTTCATATTATTTGCTCTGAAAGTATAAGCCTTCCATGATCAACCATTTATATATGTTGGTTTAGAAGCTTAAGTAATTTCACTCTTATTATGGAACTCTGTCAGTATAGATTTAAACAAAGGCATACAAAAATAAGGTATGACAACGAGAACCATGTTAATATTAAAATAGTTGCATTGAACATTTTAACAGATTATACGCTTTTTAAAATCTAAAAATCTTCTCTTAATATAGTAATCTAAGTAAAGTAATCCATCAACAGGTGTTGTCGTCTTTTTTTATCATACGATTCAATATTTATATCACGACGTCTATATGTTTTAGGCAATTACTGACAGAATAAAAACACACGAGATTTCAGTAGGTAGCGTAATGATAAGAGGCTGATATATAGGCAGCCAACAAATAAATACTTTGAAATGTTAAATGTTGGACTCACTAATATAAATTATGAAGTCCCTTCAGAAAACTAGCACTGGTACTTTTTTTTTTAATTATTTGTCATATGCATTCATAAACATAGTAGAAGATGCAATTATTCGAATTAACGGCAGCACTATATAATTAGTCACGCATAATAAAAAGGAAATTCGGGAAGGGAAAGAGACTTTGAGAGGAAATTAGTCAAAAAGAGAAAAGAAACAGAGTAGAGAGACAGATACAGAGAGAGAGAGAGAGAGAGAGAGAGAGATAGAAAGAGGGAGAGAGAGAGAGAGGGAGAGAGAAAAATAGAGACAGACAGACAGAAAGATAGAGACAAAGACAGAGAGGGAATAGATAGATAAACAGAAAAACAAAGAGAGATGAAGAAGTTTATGCAATCTTACCTCATATGTCTTCTGCGGTCCATTCTCATTACTTGCTACGTTCTGAAATTTTGCTTCCTTGTAGTATTTCCTCTTCTTAAGAAGATATAGTACAACGACATCACACATGACAGTAGCCTGCAAACATAAAATAGAACAGGAGATTATGACTTCCTCAAAATAAAGTCACACATCATGTTTGCTTTCAAATAAAGGGAAAGTGAACCGCTTATTTTGTTCCTTTTATCCTATTAAAGCTGTGGATGATTTCTAATCAACTCTTCAACGTGAAATATTTTGCTCCTTTAAAACGACAAGCTTTGTAGACTTTCATGTCTTTATTAAATTTGATTAAAAAACAAGACAAACAGTTACACAAATGAAAACCTGAGAATCACATAAACAAACACTAAATGTAAATCAGAACGAGAAAAAAGACAAAATGAAGGAAGGCTGACATAAATGCATCTCTGTTTCAGGAGTTTATTATTTCACTATATTGAATAGTCTAGAATCAATGGACACCAATGTATTGCAGGATCATAAAAAACAATAATTGATATCAAAACATTGACTCCCATTGAAAGCACAGGTGCAAACACGCACGCATACATAATATTCACCCGCACGCACAGATACGCACCCCACACACCGATGAACTCGCACTTCCATATAACTCACAAATAAAAGCGTTTGAAAAAGAGTTATAAGAACTCCATATTTTAACGCGGTAGTAAATAATAAATCTGATCTCAATTTCTAACCTACAGATGGCCTTTGATTAACTAAAATGCAACTAGAGACATGTAACAGTTATCCTTACTTTGGTCAGACGCCACCCTCAAAAAATAAATCCTGCATGCAAGCACATTATTTATCATAAAGCCAGTTCTGCTGTGTGAGTTCTCCAAGAGATGAAAAAATAAATCTCTGCATTAAAGCCATCTGCGTGCCCTGAATACCTAGATTAGCGTTCTATTATTTTCCAGCTGACCTACATAAATCATTCTTGTAAAAACCATGTGAAAATGACTGGGGAAGCATCTGTAAATATGTCCCCAGTGATTTGGCTAAAATCTCCCCTACAGACGTGCCTTCCATGATTATAGATTCTCAGGCAGGAGAAAGCAGACTAGTCATTTCTGTGTCAGGAACTTTAACACATTCACTACTTTGGTCATTTTCCATAGGCAATGAAACCTTTTTGTGATTTCTAGAGACATTCATTTTTCTAATGGGTGCTTATTGTGATGACCAGAAAAAATACCCATTTATATTCGAACAGTAATTATCTTAATCTTGTGCAGTCTTGTTTTTTTAAAATGTGTGTTTAATTATTTAAAGCTTGTTAGCACAGAAAAGAAAGCATCGAGTCATCTTTTTTCTTAATTTGCAATGACAATGCTACAACAATTAAAGTTAACTGTTCTTTTGGTTTTATACACCTACTGCATTAAGGCTTACTCTAGGGGTAAATATGTGTTATTAACTAAATTTCTACAAATAACTTTGTTTTCGTCAAGTTTAATTTTTTTAATGTTGCATCCCTGATTTATTATACTGTTATGGTGTTAGAGATAAAAGCAACTGGTTAACAAGATATTACTTTAAATCCATGCTGCAAATGGTTCCAGGATTAATACAGACATATCTACTATTCATTGTCTTGTACAGGGAAATGCATAATTCATCGAAGTCTTAACCACAATGCTTCTCACGAACCCCACCCATCAGTCAACAGTTATTACAAAATAAAGCAAACATGTCCAATTCGCTAGAAATTGGCTGAATTATGCCCAATAATGAAAACCATTGCCTTTGGATTAATGGCGACTGGCACAATGTTAATTGGGTGTTTAACTCGATAACGGGATCCCGGCCGAAAACTAATAAAAATGTCGTCGATGTTCTCTCAGCGATTCGCGTAATTACGGGGAGGTTTAATTTGGGCACGGCTCGTAACATTAGATCCTAAAGATGGGTATCAGATAGAACATGAAAATGTCACGGCAATTATTGGAGGCGAAGTTTAGCCATCCTCTCTGCATCCAGAATTTTGTGGCTACAGAGAGAGGCTGGATATGACCAGGATGAATTGAGGTCTGCGACCAGCCGAATCGATCTCGGCTTTCCGCGAAAGGAATAAAACCGCAGGTGTTACAAATCTGTTTAGGGTACGGTGTCACGGATATGTTTACGATCATTGAGCTGTATGAAACAGTTATGGTGACCGCTCAAAAAAGAGAGAAAAAGAAAAGGAGTATTCGGTGTAAATATTTTCAAAAGTCTAGATGTAAACCACACCCTATTCTTTTGAGGTGAAGGTCTACTGTGAACATAATTATCTCCTTTTCTTTGAAAAGAAAATAATAGTTATAGCCATTTAGGTTGAATCAATTTCGAAATTAAAGTCTTAAAGAAAACCACATTCTATCATTTCGAGGTGAAGAGGTAAAGTACTATAAAGGTTACAAGGAAACTACCTACAAACAGTGTTACAAAAATGAAAAGAATATGGAAGAGTTCCCTAATCTCTAATCAGGAAGATGTCATTTTTAAAATCCTTAATCTTTTACCCTAGATACAGTTTTCTCCGAAATTGGTTGAATTCGGGTCGTGCAATTTGCCGTAGGAATGATGAAGATCCATTTTAGAATAATATTACCAGTTTTGTAGATTCAGTGTAATAAAGCTCTGTTAGAATCTGACTACAATGATGTTTCCAATCTATTGATAACAGTCGGCCGGATAAAATTCATCCCGGCAGCTAATATCTTGTATACGCAGCTGTATTTCTAATCCTGCAGCATTCACATTGTCTTCTTGCAGCGAATTACTTTTCACGACCCCATTTTCAAATGAATGATAATGTAATGATATGCAAATAGTATGTACGGAATAGATAGAGTTGGGCACTTTTCCATGGGTTCTTAAAGGGATCCGGTAACTTTGTCTCAGATTCTGAAACAAAATCCTGGATTTAGCTTATGCTGCAATGATAATTATAAACCTTTAGGTCAGTCAGGAACCCCATGCCTTTTACAAGCCGATCTCCTGTATGATTATCAAGATATTTATGATGAAAATCGAAATCAAATGTTGCGTTTTCCTAACGTTTTTCATAACACTACAGTCCATAGGGGGAAAACGAGTATGGTAAAACCGGTCACTCACAGATATTTTTTACTTTTTTGAGGCACTTCTTGATCATTTTGAAGCGTAATTTTGTTTAGGGCTTCAATATTACACCATATCTCAGACACTGATAACACGTAGGGCCGTGCATTACAGATTTAACATTGTTAAACGATGCCTTTAAAAACAAATTTTCCAAAGTCAAATGTTATATAAAACACCTCAACCAAGATTTTGTTTTTAAAGGAAAGGCAATTGGCATATGAAAGTAAGAATACATGATAATCACTATTTATTCTTTAAGGCCAATGTGTTATTTATGTAAATAAATTGTCAAAATGAAAAACAAAGCTCACACAATTGGAGAAGAAAAGGAAGGGGGGGAGATGGAGAGAATGAGGAAGAAATTATTGGGGCAGAGTAGAGAGCGATGGTGAGGGAGAGTGAGAGGGAGAAAGAAAGAGAGAGAGAGAGAGATGGCGAGGGAGGGTGAGAGGGAGAGGGATATGATGAGTGAGAGAGAGAGAGAGAGAGAGAGAGAGAGAGAGGGATGGCAAGGGCGGGTGAGAGTGAGAGGGAGAGAGAGGGGGTGGTGAGAGAGAGAGAGAGAGAGATAGAGAGTGGAAGACAGATAAGATACAAATAGACACAGAGAGGAAAAAAGTCAATACAGATGAGTAGAAGGGAAGGGGGACGGAATAAGAAACGAGAGGTAGCAGTCAACAGATGAAAAGGATGAAAATACGTGGGTGTGGACAAGGAGATGGGGGGGGGGGCTGATCTAAAGGCAAGTAATCTGGGATTGGGATAAAGGTGCGAAGGCGCTCTCGTTACCACACAGGTGCTTCAGCTTATAAGGAGATGCTCGAAATTAGAAGCGAGGAGTTTATCTGACGTAACAGTATTACGTGATCGCTGATAAGATAGTATTGGGACGTGTTAGGGGTTCGAAAATAGGACACCAAAGTTAACTATGTACACCGTGTTCCACTTGTGTCAATTCTAGAGGGTGACGATGTCACCCCAAGCCTGGGACCCGAATATTAAAATCTTGCCAAGTGCTTTTTATGGACTATACAGGGTGAACAAGATAGCAATGACTTTAAAAATGAGCCCTATTTTAATAGCTAAAGTAATGACGTTCGCAATGGGAAACATGCTTTTAGAATAGACCTGTTTACCAATTGAATGCATAATTATTTTAAACAAAGTTATCTTGACGATTGAAAAGATTGCCAGGGATTATTATCCTGCATAGCAACAACTACTGTGTGCAAAGTGAATTTCATCTATAGAGACGCCATTGTTTTGCATAGCAGGTGAATCAAAGAGTTGGTAACCAAAGGGTTGGGAAACAAACATCCTTACATCAAAATACATAGTTTTGTTGTTTGCGCATTTAAATAAGTGGAGCACTTGGTAGGCTTTTTATATTGCCGGTGGTTGATTTCTTTAGCGTCTTTGCGGTTGTGTTGGTGGTAACCGAATTTAAACCCACTATGTGCTATCCGGGGGTCGTTAACAAACATGGAATAACTCAGTTCTCAGTATTTAAAAGGTCAACAGATCAGATGTACAGAAAGAAGATACCTCAAGAAAAGATTATTTTGAAAACAAATAAACGGTTGCTATGGAAACTCGGACCACTAGCCAAATTCGGAAATTTCAAATTCAACACAACATTCTTACCTCACTTTACGACATATTTTAACTGTAAAACATCGATTTTACATTGATGTGATAAAGGAAGGGATTATTCGTTAAAAGTACACTTAAGTAATCTTAATCCTCGACCAAGCCAAGGAAAAGTAGACAAAATAGATCAAAGATAAACCAATGTCTATATGGAGAAAGAAAGCCTGGAGAATATGCAGTCGGACTTAATGTCGCCGGACCAATTGTTACCAGAGCAAACGTCGGATCCCCGGACTATAGATGAACTTTCAAGCCAGCCAGGAACCAACTGAGGATTTGTTTTCTTATTCATGTCACACCAATGAGAT